CACACACACACACACACACACACACACACACAGACACACACACTCACACACACACTGCACAAAACAATGCTGTGTCTCAATGTGCGTAATTGTGCACTTACTTTTGCTGTTTCAAGTACTTAAATGCGTTCCAATGTGAAGTATGAGTACCATGATGTTGTAGTGATAACCGTCAAAATGTTATCATACTCAAAAAATGTCATAGTATATTTTGTGGAAGATATCACGGAAAAATACTGTAGTGTGTCAAAACATTTGAAATGAGTTATAGAATAGTTTGTCAAAAATATCACGTCGTACTACAGTGACAACGCTAGATGTACACACTAGATGTACACACTGCCCAAAAGTTCCCAGACTAAAACTTTGACTCACAGTTGTGAAAACGTTGAATTAATGGAGTTATGTGCTCTTAATCCATCAGGGAAAAGTGGAGGTGGAGTTCCATCTTGTGACAGGGGAGGAGGCTGAAAAGAATCCAGTTGGCAAAGCACGCAAGGAGCCGGAGCCGCTTCCAAAACCAAAGTAAGAGTCTGGCTGTATTCTCTCTAAAGAAAAATCTAATCTGGTTTGTTTGTGTGTTCTTTCTCTGAAGGTTTGTGTTGCTTTAACAGTGTGGATTTCAGAGGACACACAGAGTAAATGTGTTAAAAGGAGGTTCGAAACAATAACTTAAAGGTCACCTGCTGTTATGCAAAATCCACTTTTTCACGTCTCTTCTACATCAACCTGTGTCCCCTCTGTGTAAAAAGATTCTGAAAGTATCAGGAAAAAAGATTAGATTATAAAAACCTGTCTGAAAATGAGATGATCAGATTTTGGCCACTTTACGATGTCATGGCGATTTTTTTGGCTTGTGTAACCATTAGCCAATCACCAACAAGGTAATTGTATCAGAAATAACCACACAGTTGTATATATACACTCATGTAGTACACACTACACAGGTACACTTGATCCGAAAAAAAGTCAGTGTGTCAAACATTTTTGAAAAGAAAGTCATACTATATACTATGTTGACATTAAACTTGACTTTTTTACATACAACACTTACTTTTTATGACATATCGACATCTTCACAATGAGAATTATCCATTTCTTTACACATTTTATTCGAAGTACGTTTTTAAAAATCAATTATTCTTGTGGATGCTTTTTGTATTCTTTTTCATTCAAGAATATAAAAACTGTCCGACATTTAATAAAGCTGTTCAAACTAAATACTTTAAAGTGTAGTAATAATTAAAACTCAAATTCTCCCTCCTCCTCTCCCTGCCCCCAGTCGTCCTGACACCTCCTTCTCGTGGTTCGTGAATCCTTTCAAGTGTTTCTTCCACTTGGTGTGGCGGAGCTACAAGAAGTACATCATCATCGCCTTGGTGCTGCTCATCGTCATGCTGTTCCTCGCCCTGCTGTTCTACACACTGCCATCAGCCATTTCTCAGAAGATAGTCAATGGATAACACACGCTAACATTTTATTTTAAAAGAATGGATGACTTTTAGACGATGCAACTCCGCCTTCCTCTCATGACAGCTTCTACAAAGTCTTATATACCAAGTTTTAAAAGGGACAAACCTGGTTAAGTGCCCATCTTTAAAAACATATATAACAAAAATAAGGATATACATGGTCAGTCCCTTTTGTTTTGGATTTGCCTTGACTTCAGAAGGAACGATTAGTCTTTGTGCTAAGGCTGTGTAGATATATTTTAAGATTTCACAGACGAACTAGATATCTTTAAATGGAAATTGTAAAACAAAAACATGGAATATTGAGTTTTTGAAGTCTCAACACATTGCTAACACGACGTATGTTAGGGTTAATAATGGCCTTCATCGTCTTCCTAGGGTTTAATGGTTATCAACTCAATTTCAATCAGGAGAGACGGTTTTGATGTAAGAATACATATTTATTGTCAGGAATACACAAATAAATGTAATGGAGTTTTGGCGATTAGGCCCCGTTGTGCAGGAGTATCATTCGGGAGGGGAGAACCGATCCGATGAAACCCCCCGGGGTCTAGACTCTGGTGGTGGTGAATGGATAGTTGGGTTCTGTCTGAAGGGGAGGGGCTTATTGACCCTGGATTCAGAGGGACAGGAGGTGAAAAGGAGTGGAGGAGGGTTGCGTCGAGTCACCTGAAATGACAGCTGACAGGGGGAGAGCACATTTAAAAGGTTTAGCAGAGCGCTATGATAGGCTTGTGAGAATAGAGCGAAGTGATTGGTTAAGCTGGGGAGTGACGCCCCCGATCACTTATTGAGAGGAGAGAGAGTAGTAACATGGGAGGAAAGACGGTCTTCCTGGTTGAACTTGTGCTGAGCTTCATAGGCACATTTCCAAAAATAATTAGATTCATCTTTTTAAAAAGTTTCACGAATAAAAAAATAAAATAACTTTTCAAATATATTAAATACAGTTTTCTTTTATATTTTAAATAATGAATCAAAGCTTAATTTTTATAGTTTTATCACCTTTTCTAGTATTTAAATAAATTATCATTTGAACTGTAAAAACTAAAATGCAGAGCTCTCTTGAACCTCTTTGCATTGAGATCTTATGAGATAGATACATGATAAAAGGCTAATCTAATCTCAGTAGATCTGAGCTTCAACTCGTTAAATGGTAGAAGAAGAAGAAGAAGAAGAAGAAGAAGAAGAAGAAGAAGAAGAAGAAGAAGAAGAAGAAGAAGAAGAAGAAGAAGAAGAAGGAAGATCCCAGTCAGGCTAAACATTTATTTTCTTCCCAGAATTCAAAGACAGCACCAAGTCTAAAAGCAACAACTCATCTTTGCTTTAGAGGCCATTGTTTTCCTGTTGTTGTTGTTGTTTGGAGACAAACAGACCAGATACACATGTGCTTTGACTTTAATGCTAACATGCTAATAATAACAATAATAATAATGCATTTTATTCATAAAGCACTATTCTAGAAACCCAAAGACACTTTCCACAGTAAAAAAGAAATCATAAAAACATGAAAACACACTTTAACACATTCATTACAGATTAAAAGCAGTTCTGAAGAGGTGTGTTTTGATTTTAGATTTTGAACATGTAACTCTGCCTTTCGATGTTTTGGGAGAAAAGGTCTGCGTCCATTCATCGTCTGGATAGGAAGTCAAATAATCGATTTTAAGTCGGTGAGATATTTCAGAAAAGCCGACATCGCCGTCCCTCGAGCGACGTCGCTAGCGAGGCTGAAGAGAAAGAGGAGGATGAATTATTGATGAAGAGATCTGTCTGCAATAAACGTGACAGACACATCCCGTCCATCGCTCCACAGCGAGATAACACACACCAACACACCTGGGAACACACACTGTAACCGCCTCACAGCCTGGAGAGTGAGCAGGCTGCTTCTGCACACACACACACGTACCGACAGAGAGAGCAAACATCTTCATTTATATTCAGAGGAAGGCGTCGGCTTGATGGGATGCATTGTGTTTCTCTGTGTGAAGTATATGAGGTGTAATGTGAGGCTGCAGGCACATTGAAGACGGATTGCATCAAATACGAGCAGTTCCATAACACATGGAAGAAATGGAGACATTACTGCAGAATATGTTGATGACTGCAGGAAGCTCTTTCTCTGCAGAGGATATTGTTTAAAGATTTATTTGCAACTTTGAAGACGTGTTTGTGGCACAAAATAGGATGTTGCATGAAGTGTCACAGGGATGTTATCAGGACCCAAACACAGAGCAAGGAGAAGAGATAAAAGTAAATCAAAAAGCGAGTTTTATTTAACAAAAGCTGTTCCAACAGGTTCTTGTGGGTTATCTGTCGCCACTTTTTTAGTTTTTGGCAGACTCTCTAAACAACCCATCGCCGCAAAATAGGATTAATGTTGGGTTGTGGTGGAGCAAGCTGCCCGGTAGAGTCGACCCAATTATTAAAAAGTGGCGACAGATAACCCACAAGTACCAAAACTTGAAAACGATGCAAGCAGGCCCGATCAACAAAACGGTAACTAGCAAACAAAAGCAAAACAAACCAGGAAGACTCGGAGGACACTGGAGGACAGAACAGGGACATTAAGGACACCGAGAACTAAACCATGGGGAGCAAAGACCACGAACTGAAACACAACGGGAAGCAAGACTGAAAACACAAGAATCATCACAAATCAAGACAAAGGACTGAAACACAATCAGAGGGTGGTTCTCAATGTCGAGGACGCTTCCTTGGTAGCACATGTCTTCCGAGTCACTTGCTTAAGAAGCGAGGCAAGAATCCTTCCTAGCCTCTGAAAACGAAGAATGGTGGAACAGGCTAACAGGTGTGCGTCATATGCCCCGCCTTAAATGGAACGCGATTTCCGCCAAAGATTTGGAAATTGGTCCGTGCGCAAAGCATTGTGGGGATTTTAAGACCGCGGAGTCTACACATGTGCAGCCCTCAAAATGTCCCGCTACGAAGGACGCCGGCCTCGGTAGAATTCCAAGTATGCTGGACATTGGAACAGTCCTTCGGCGGCACTCGATGACGTAGTATGCTTGAAATAGTGGCTCTGGAGCATCCTTACTCGACATTGAGAAACACCCAGACAATCAGACAGGAGGGAAAACAAAGAGACAGGAAGCAATGCAGACACGAGACAGGGGGTGAACACCTTTCAAAGCAAAACAGGAAACCGACAGACTGTGACTATTCAAAATAAAAGGGGAAAACACAGACAGACCGTGGGCTGCAGAGCATGTGGGCACTATGTGAAAGAACACTAAATAAACGAAAGTAAAAGGTATAATTCAAACAAACTAATACAAGACTTTCACCCAGAAGAAAGCTGTTTGTGTCCGGTGTGAAACTGACATTTTGATTATTTTAAGTTAAATAATATACCTGCCTTGTGCAATTCAAACGCTTTTAATCCGGATGACGAAAGGAACATTTTAAGGGATGCCATGTCATTTAGTTTCCAATTAAAGGTCCTTAATATAGAGGATTTTAAACGGCTCATGTGTTGATTCCCTGCTCTGCCTTAACCCCGCAGTACAGACATTCACAAATACACATCCAAGGGGCTTTCCAACATTTGCTGATGAAGATTTCACTTCACAATCTCTGGGATGTCCGTGCAATGTGTGGAAATAGTGGGACGCTAGTCAGACATATTGAGGTCTGTGTTTTGGAGGTTACTATCTACTATCCACACATAAATGGACTGGTAAATGGACTGTACTTATATAGCGCTTTATCCAGTCTTTTAAGACCCCTCAAAGCGCTTTACATACTACATGTCATTCACCCATTCACACCCATTCATACAGAGCAGTGTACCTTACTCTAGGACCTAACATTCACACACATTCACACACCGTTGGCCATGCCATCGGGAGCAACTCAGGGTTAAGTATCTTGCCCAAGGATACATCGACATGTTGACTGCATGGGCTGAGATCGAACCCACAACCTTCTGGTTGAAAGACAACCACACTCCCTCACAGCCACAGTCGCCCTTTACATAGATTAGGGATGTNCCATAAGTCCGCTCTACAAAGTGTCGCTGGTTGTTTTCGAGGTTTTGGAGAGTTGGAGGAACCTTTGGTGGGTTTTTCTCCCTTTATGGTTAGTGTAGGACATCCTCGCCATACGGCGTATGTAGGTCATACAGGCCACCCCATTTAAGTTTACGGAACAGTAAGGTATAACTCAAGGGGAAAGAAAGATATACTTCAATGTGTAATTGTCTACAGGAGAGATATATACACAAGTAGACCACCAAGAATTTCCGGTCGCGCTATCCAACCACACACATTCGTTTTTCGTGTGTGTTGACGGTCGTTAGTTTCTTCGAAAAGTTCGTCGAAAGGATGGAGGACTAATGGAGTACTTCACCTCCTCTTCAACTCCTATGACAACGTCAACGGGCTTGTCACCAACTCCCTAAACGGATACTAATGGCTCGGCGAAACAAGATCTACCTTTGGGTATCAGTGAACTCGCCTCAACAATCTTTTAGAATGAAGTTTGTTGACATTAGGGTTCTTTATCGACCAAACGGAGCCCGTGACAAGTCTTTGGCAACTGGTTGACCACAGTTATCCGTTGTAATCACCTTTTTTATACGTGTCGCGACGTTTTCTTATAACCCTTTCTTCACCTAGTTGTTTTTCGTTTTCTCTCTTAACCTTGTTCTTCCGGGGTCCTTTTCACCTGCGCGATTCTTTGGACGACTACATCACTGGTAACACGTCCTCCCTTGTCTTCTAGTGCATTCAGAGGATGTACGAATGGGCATCTCCACTCTCCTTTATCCGTCACATTTCGACAAAAAAGTGACGTACATTGTATTAAGGGAGTCGGGCCGTGTCGCGTTACCGACCTACATCAGGCTTTCCCCTCGTTGGACTTCGGGTCACTCTTCTTGGTTTCGAAACGAGACCCTTTCTGTACCGGAATTCTTATCCCATGTGTCGGATGAGGATGCGACGTACTGTACTACGCACCAGCGATCTTTGTTATGTTAGTAGCTACTGTTGTGACCGTAAGGGGTAGGAAGATCCGAACCTAAAGGCTTGGTTCTGGAGTCTGGGTAATAGGTTGGCCCTGTGCCTTTTGTATCCTCCATCTTCCGGTTCCCTAATGCACAAGGTAAGTAAGGAAGAGTTGGACGAACTCCTAGGGCCCGTCGAGGTGGGGTTCACAATCAAGAGTATTCATCGTGAAGGCGATTAGGTTCATGTAAAGGATAAGCTCTTCTCTGACGGGGTCTAAAAAGGTCGAAGTAGGTGGTCTCCAAGTCTCTTTAAGAACCTTTCCGACCGGTTTCCCACAAGTCCGCAAAATCCTTTTGATTCCATCTTCTCGTGTTTCTATAAAATGATGTCTGCTCCATAAGGTCAGACGCGAGCCGTTGTTCCGTATGTCCCATTTAGGATGGGTGTTCGCCGGTCTAGGTAGTTATCTGGCCATTCTCGTCTACCGAATCCCTACCCATAAATAACTTGGTAAGTGTCAGTCGGCGACCGCAGGTCATCAGAACCACGGTTTTTGGACTGTACAGGGGTTCTAAACACACAACTGAAAAGCTGGGGATTCTTACGATTCTGAGACGTTCTACGGGATAGAATACGGTTGAGATAAGTACTTAACACCCCAGTAACGGTACCTCGGAGTAAGAAGTTCAATGGGAACTGGGATTTTCGTCCGATGACGTACACCGTTAACAAGTCTACCTTTCGTTCGGGTCTGTCGTCATTAAGTGTCTGTCTATATCGGAGATGGTCAAGTTTCACGTACTGGTAAACCGACTTCTTTGCGGCTCGTGGGAAAGGTCGGCTAACTACCTTTTCCAGGCCTCTCGACTCACCTTTTTAGCGAAACAACATCAATAACTTACTACAGTAGTAGAAAGTGAGTGTGGGAGTGTGCTTGTCGTGGAGTTTCCAAATTGCGACACTACTTGCTCTGAAGTAACTCCGGTTAAATTCGTGAGTTAGACTTTCTTTACGGTAAAGAAGGGGTCTCGTTTCTCAATTTTCAAAAGGAACCGGTATATCACCAGACTCTTTCCCACAAAGGTCCCCTAGGTCTTCTTTTGGTGCACCGTCACGACCTTTCTTCCATAGGATGAGGGTGTGTTATTAGTTCAGTGACGTTGCTAAGCCTTGAACAACCCTACCCAATGGTGTTTAAGTAAAGGGTGAAACTTGTCTAATACCGTCGAGGAACGTAGAGCGGACTGTTCTTTCGCCACCTCACCTATACCCTCGCTTCTTACGGGTCAATTTCGGAAACTTGGTGAAATTCTTGGTCCGATACCCCAGTCGACGAAGGGTAGGTTTGTGTGTTGGCATTTGGTGAAGTTAAAAGGAAAAACCTCCACGTCGTGTCTCTGCGAATCACTGCGGCAAACCCAACGTCAGGGAATCAGGTTCGATGACTTCCTTCCCCTCCGTCCACTATCGAATACGCAGTGCCCCTAACTCTCCTCGGCTCAACCATTGATGAGGTGTAGTCTTTTTTCCTTACAGGATCGACAACATTACCCGACAACTTTTTCACCGGCTGTTAAAGGAACTTTCCTGCTTCCTCCTCCCGTGAGAACCACCCCTGGCATCCCGGTGACGCGCCCACTAAAAAGCCTCTGGGCGCGCCGCGACAGGTGAATCTGCAAATGAGGCTTGCAGAACCACACCCCCAAACCTTACACAAAGGTGGACATTTACTGACTGTAGTTTGCGAGGATGCATCATAGATTTTCATTTGAATCTAAAGTACCTGCCTTAACCTTTTCCCCTGCCCCTACAGTTTATAAGAAACACTGATATCAAACTGCGACTGTCACAAGAAGACACTTTGATAGAAAATGGCACTTTATACTCCACTATCTTTAAAAGTGTGTATATGTCTCAAAGATGTAGCCTGTTTATCTCAGCTTGTCTTATTAAGCATTATTGTCCACTGAAACCGGCTCCTTTTTCATTCTGCATACATTCTAAGGCTAAGCTTATGACTAGCATTTTTTTTTTTTTTTACTCTTGTTGAATTCTCAGTCTTCCTGAAACATGACACAGCCTTTGGTTCACCATGTACAAAACATATATTTGTAAATAGGACGTTCAATAACCTAAAAGCATGGAAGACTATTGGTATGATGACATCTGACTGTACCCAATCGAGGCAGGAGATACCAAGCTGTTCAGCAGTGTGTGTGTGCGTGTGTGTGTGCGTGTGTGTGTGTGTGTGTGTGTGTGTGTGTGTGTGTGTGTGTGTGTGTGTGTGTGTGTGTGTGTGTGTGTGTGTGTGTGTGTGTGTGTGTGTGTGTGTGTGTGTGTGAGTGTGTGCGTGTCTGTAAGGACAGGGTCAGGTCAACTAACCAGGTCTGCAAGCATCGGCTGAGGCAGCGTCTTCTCCAGCTCTCTGCGTCTGCTGATGCTTCGCTTGCGGAGCTCATTCCTGCGCAGCTTGAAATCTTCATAAAGACTGAGGTCTTTAGTCCATGGCCGCACCGCCTGGCGATGTGGGAGACCTGATGGTGAATAACCCATGGACTGCAGGGAGCTCAAAGGCTGAGGCATCAGATCTGAGAGCAAACACACAGAGAGAGGTTTGCAGTGATTGGGATTTTTAATAGATCAATACATCATGGAGCTGATTTATATATCAATGGCATCTTGTTTTTATACAAGTGATCAATACTGCTTTGTTTGGCCAGGGGGAGTCAACTAGGGAAACATCATCAAGAGCATTTTTTTTTTTGAACTAGCCAAGCAGTCTCAGAAGCATCTGCTCACACTCTCATACACAGATGTACTCACCAGTGCATGGTCCTGCTGCGCTGTAGGCTGCAGAGTTATTTCTCTGACTTTCTGGAAGCCCTGACCTTTGAGTCTGGAGGAAGTGAAAAAAACATTCATTTCTTTCAAGAGACCCTTTTAAATAGCCTGTGATATTCAGTGCATTATCAACATGTGTATGTACAATTAAGGATCTTAATGATCTAACTTTGATACTCTATTTCTAAAGAAAAACCGTGCAAGGGCTGCAAAGCACTCTGGTCCATTGTCTACACCCACAAATGGCAATAATGCAACTTCATCACTGTGAGATCTGGGCTTGATTGACAGTTGAAACTATCAGAGTCCAAAACTAACTTATGTAGAGAGTTATTATTTAAAAAAAAAAAAGAATCTTCTTAACAATTTGGGGAAAACACTCTCACAAGAACTCAGGTGCTGACCTTGTTTTGTCAGCTTGAACATTCAGCTCTAGCCTCACCTCTGACTCTGGAAGAGGACCCTGCTGCAGCTGGCAGTCCAGCAGAAGGTCGGCCATCACATCCTGCTCTTCCTCTGGCTCCTCCTTTATGCAGATCTCCTCCTCCTCCTCCTCCTGCTTCACCTGCATTACACCAAGAAACAACAAGGACTTTAGGACTACGATAAGAAAACAGTGTTTTCTGGCACACTTAATATCGCAATTATCTCCATCTCCTTTGGACTGATTTACTTATTTTGCTTTATACTAAATTACTTTTCTTATAAATGATATGATATACTCCTACTAGTATTACACCTCTTGAGGTATATCTAGTAACCGTTGTATCAGCAGTGTGTCCAACAACACCCCTAAGTTGTTATTATAAGCTATTATAGTCAATAAACCTGCGAAGATTTGTTTGTATTTATCCGTTTACATTTCAGTTTTGATGCTGCTGTAACAATCAATAAAGGTTTTTCTAATAAGTTGTAAAGAAACATTACAAAACAATGACACATGATGGTTAATCGATTAATTCATGCTTTTGTTGATATATTATTCGTAATGTTTTTGTGATTGTTCCTGTTTAACTCAGTTCTTCTAATACAGTGGTCGCCGACCGGTCGATCGCGAGTGTGGTGCGGATAGATCGCGGACCGTTAAAAAGAAAAGTTTAAAAGGGGGAGTGATTTGTAAAATATCCATAAAGAAAAAGAACATCTGCTTACAGTTCTGTTTCATCTGGGTGCTGAGAGAGGTATCCATAGATCTCTTCATGTTGCTCTCAAAGTGCACCAGATTGATGCTTTCAACTTCAATATTTAAAAAAAAATCTTCCTGGGGGAGCATCCCCCCTGACCCCCCTAGAGGAGGTGAGGTCCGCCCCCCAATAGCACTTTACCCCTGCCTATATGCCGTGAGCTGATTATGGAGCCTTCATTGTAACAGTAATTCAGATGCAATTAGCCTATATAAAAGGCCTCAAATTGGAAGCATTGTCTGGGCCGTCTTTTTCACTCAATTCTGCAATAGGTAGATCTCGCCTTTCACCTAGGCCGAGGTCGGTGATCTTGGGCTTAAAAAGGTTGGTGACCACTGGTCTAATATATATTTATAGAGAGCTAATCCTTGCTCCTCCCTAAAGGTCAGGGCATGATGCAGGTTGGCCACTTCAGCACGGGGGTGTATTTATGACAAACAGTACTGCTTATGCAAAACCAATAGGATGAAGTCTGGAAGTGTGTGGTTACTTGTGAAGCAGAGGAGTGCAGAGTGGAGCTATCGGCCTGGGTGGAAACATGAGGGGACGGTGAGCCAGCGGCTGACTGCTGCTCCAGAGCCTGGACAGGAGGAGGATCCAGGTGAGCGTCCCCTCCCTCTGAGTGTGGCTGCAGAGTGACGGTCCACTTACAGTCGTTCTCCTGATCCTGGCTGTGAGCTACGTGTCGCTCTACAGGAAAGAACACTGCACAAACACAGTATTTTGTTCAGAGATACACAGCAACATGTTATCAATCTATATGCAGCTGATTCTGATTCTCGCTCGACACCAAGTCAAATTCCTCGTACGTGTGAACCTACCTGGTGATAAACCCGTTTCTGATTCTGATTCCTTTTGGTTTGCTATTCTCCATTCAGTGTGTATTCTGACTAACACTCGATTTCCCCAAATCCAGTATCCAGTATTTAACTTTTAAAATATACAATAATAAAAGTAAATAGGATAATACCTACTTTTTACATCAACAGATATCATTTAAACTTTTCCAAATTAAGTTTGAAGGGAACAACATGTAGAAAAGAAGGCAGCAGTATCACACACACACACACACACACACACACACACACACACACACACACACACACACACACACACACACACACACACACACACACACACACACACACACACACACACACACACACACACACACACACACACACACACACACACACACACACACACACACTGTACCTGTGCTGCTGTCCTGACTAGATTCTGTAGGAGTGTTCAAAGAGAGTGAGACTGGCAGCAGCAGGTCAGACGTGTCAGAGCTCAGATCTCCCACATCTGAATGACAAAGCGCTCCGATTGCACGCCTGCTTGTGCTGTGTGGGGAGCTGCATTCTGGAAGCACACACACAGAAAGGAGTAAGACCCATTGCAGTGGAGGGGGCCAAATATGTGTCAGTCATCTCCATGGCCATTACCTTGATTGCTTGTTGACAGTGGTCCCTCAGGGTTCGTTATTGAGCATGATGGAGAAATCTCAGTGGAGGAAACCCCCGCCCCACCTCTCTGTGCTTGAAGGTACATGGACGGGTGAATGCGGCCCAGAGTGGAGGCAGAAACTCGTTGCTCCAGCTCCTCCTCCACTCCTTGCCTGTAGTATTTTAGCTTTAGCTCGGTATAGCGCAGCTTGGCTCGGATGTTTTCATTCTCTTTCTCTTTTTGGGTTTTTTCCCTTTGTAATGACGCAACGTCCCTCTGCATCAGCGCCACATGGCCTTTCAGCTCCTCAAATTTGACTCCCACCACTTTTAGCATCTCAGCCAACACCGTCTCCACCGCTCCGTTCACTGCTCGCTCAACCACGGCACGCATCTGGCCTCGAATCAGCGACACGGCAATGCTGACGTCCATTTTCAAAAGACCTCTGACCAAAGAGTGGCTGGAGAACGTTCATCAAAATGTTACCTGCATCCACAAATGCATTGCAATTAAAAGGTGCAGTTTGATTATTGAACTTGTTGTCTAATCTACAACAATGTCACCTAATCCAACAGTCTAGATAGCAAGAGAATACAAAAATGGCATACAGAGAAATAAACCAAAAATGTAGTCCCAAGTTTTTGTTAAAGATGATTATTGTCGTGCAGGAATGCCAAATAACATAATATAGAGTAGACAGCTCTGCAGTGACAGGCATTTGAATATGTAGCTGCATGTTCCTTCCTGCTGAACGGAGCTAACCAGGGAAACAAACAACAAATCTGCCAATTATGACATGTCAGACAGACAGCAAAACACTACGATCAAACTACATGAAATTACTAGGACTGCCCCGTGTAGGTCATTTTGGCTTTTTATATTGTGAATTACTTATTTGCATGAAACTCAGCTTTTGCATTATGCTTCTTTTTTTGTTTAGCTAAGTACATTTACAAGTACTGTACTTAAGTACAATTTTTAGGGACCTGTACTTTACTTGAGTATTTAAATTATGTGTTACTTTGTACAAGATCAGAGTACTTCTTCCACCTCTGTTTATATGAATGCAGGTCTTTAAACCGGTGATAAACTACGTCACAGAACCATCTTGGACCTCCGATTTGTGAAGTTGCTATGGATACATTAATAACCTTTATAGTAATCTCCCATATTAGAAACTCGAGTTGAAAATTGTCAGACTATGTAGACTGTTGTATATACACATTAGGATGAAAGATAAAAACATTGTACTTACCTTTTATTGTTGTTGGTGATAAACAGCTTAGCCTGTTAGCTGATTGCTAACTGGCTAAAAAAGCCTTTAACAGATCGTTGGCTTCTCACAGTCTTTGTAACAGTAGCTGTCGATTCCAAAACATTGATCACTTTTATGTTTTCATTGCATTGACTCCAGTTTTATTATCAAAAGACTGCTTCTTTCAACGAAAATGTGAAAATACTTCTCAACAGCTGTGTTGTTTTACCATAACAACGGCCAAGTGTTTCCGGATGAATCTTCTTCGTTGGTTTTAATGTCAGGATGGTTGGCGTAACTTAAGATTCATACCGCCACCTACTGTAAAGAGCATGTAGTTGTAATAATAATAATACTTTATTTACAGAGAAACTTTCATGCAAGATTCAGCCCAAAGTGCTTTACAGAGCAAGACAAGATACATACAATAACAATGAATACAAATAGAGATTGAGGAACATGATTGAAAACAAGTTATAAAAAACAACAGAAAGAGTTGATCACAAAACCATAGAACATGAACGATGATACCACTCAGATTAACCCAAATTAAAAGCCACATTTAAAATATGATAAATGAAGGTAAGAGAAAAACTAAATAAAATAAAATGTCTATATTCTACAAACACTTATGTTGCTCTGTGTTTAAAAGCTTTCATAGAAAACAATCAGCGCTTTTATTCCTGCTACTGAGATTTAGTTTTATCCTTGACTGCTTTTATTCTAAATCTGTCAAAAGTTTGACCTGGTCTTGAATTGTAAATTATCAGACATGCATAAAACAAGGACAGCCGCAATATTTAAAATAGTTTTATTTTATAGAAACATAGAAAATATCAAAAGAGGAAATCAGGTATTGTCTTTGACAAATGGACAATGGTATATTCTTTAAAGCAACAGAGGAGTGTTGATTCGGAGATGCCTGACCTCCATCTTTTGATGTCCTCTATTAACTTGAATTCTCATAATCATTGAACCATTTAAGGAATGATCTCAAATAGAGGTTAAAAGTCAGGGGTTATGGTCTCAGCTAGTTGGATTTACACCCAGTAACTATAACAAAGTGAAGTAAGAGTAGATCCACGGTCTAGATATACCCTGCGTTTTCTCCAGACCTCCAGCCTCCAACAACAGACGCCTTTGAACGGCCAACTGCTGCTGCAACAGCGCCATCTCTCTGCAGGAAGACAGAACGAGAAAGAGACAGAGCTGGACAATCATTTAATATCATTATACGACAACAGAATACAACGTGTTATGGGTTTGAAGCATCTGAATGTGTATGGATTTATAATATAAAATAAAGGTTGATGAGACAGAAACTTATTGTACCTTGCAAGTTGCTCTGCCTGCAGCCTTGCTTCCTCTGCGGCCTGTAAGGTGGCCTCCTCCTCTTTCCTTTTACGCTGCTCTTCTTCGTGTCTCCTGCTCTCCTCCTCCTGCTCCTTCCTGCAGAGGTACTCTATCCTCTCACTCTCTTCCATCTCCAGAAGCTTCTTCCTCTCCTCTTCCTGCTGCCTCTCCTCCTCCAGGCGCAGACGCTCGAGCTCAGCTGGAGAGGATCAAATATAGTTTCCAGGAAATTAGATTAGGCAAGGCAAGGCAAGTTTATTTATATAGCACCTTTCAACACAAGGCAATTCAAAGTGCTTTACAAAAATGAAAGACATTAAGAAAATGGAATTTAAAATCAGTCATTAAAAAGAAAAGATATAAAATAAACATTGAAAGACAAAATACATGAATAAAAGTTACAGTGCAGTTTAAGATATGAATATACTGTATCAATTAAAAGCAGCGGCAAAGAGAAAAGTCTTCAGCCTGGATTTAAAAGTAGTAAGAGTTGCAGTGGACCGGCAGGTTTCTGGGAGTTTGTTCCAGATATTTGGAGCATAATAACTGAACACTGCTTCTCCATGTTTAGTTCTGACTCTGGGGACAGAAAGCTGACCAGTCCCTGAAGATCTGAGAGATCTGGATGGTTCATCATTTAGCAGGAGGTCAGAAATATATTTTGGGCCTAAACCATGCAAAGCTTTATAAACCA